ATGACTATATTACCTAAGATCACCTATATTATGCGATGCGTACCCTGTCACTGTCCCATTTATTTGTTGAATAATTTACAACGGGCGATAGATGTATTCATCCATCAGAATAAAAGAATGCGAATTAAGATACCAATATTTTAACACTGCCACCACCAAGACAATTTATAATTGGGGTGCCTCTGTCCCCCAGGTAAATCAATAATAAAATCCCACCAAATATTACTTAGCACAATATCTATGTAATTTCAAAACACTAATTAGTCACTTAAGGTAACGTGATTCTTAACCAGACAAAGGCAGAACTTAATAAATGAAAACAGTCACAAAAATATATGATAAACAAATTATTTACACCAACAACAGATAAAAATAAAAAGGATACAATAACAGAAGTCCTAATTACTTGTAACGGATCGCCTGGCACCCCGACTGGGTACCTCCGTTGAAGGATGCTCCTAGCGCTTCCAGAGGACTCCAAGCACTGCAGCAGACACCACAACCACCGAATTGTAGGAGTATATGAGTGCTCTCAAGCATATGAATGCTGTAGACAGTTGAATAGGAACCATACGAATAGGTTTACTCTCCTAGCAGTCAAACTGGAACAGCATACAATAAATCCTTCCCCCAATAATGAGACGACACTTCACTTTGAGGGTTAAAACAGGAACTCTCTGTACTGTCACATACAGTCTCTTTTATTCCCAATCCACAAACATAGTACAGCCCACAGGGCGTTACAAAACACCAATCACATCACAGTTACATCCCACATATTCCCTCCCCTTATCCTGAGAGGAAACTCAATTATACATACAGTTAAAACATACTTTCTACCCAACTTTCATAACTCCAAAACCATACATCACATTCACATAAAATTACATATTCACAATCAATCCATTCAGGGGAACAACATATTCAAAAATGGCACAAATCAGACAAGGGGTTCAAAAGTTAGTAAAAAGTCCTTTGTGACTAAATGAAGCATGGCTTTCTGGCCCAAACCAGTTTCAGAGTCTTCTATCCTGGAGAGTAATTCAATTATCTCCCAGGATAGACACAAGACTCCATTAAGCACATGGTTGCAAAAAGACACAAAACACTTTAAAATACATAAAGTCACATTTACACATAACACACAGACATTTCACATATCCCCAGATAGCTGGGATCTGAGTGCACATTATTAGATGAATGGCACTCAGATCACACAAATAAGCCTTTCTGCAGGGGAAATAAACGGTTTAACCTGCAGGGCCATAGTCCAAAGGGAGCAGGCGAGCAACCAGGCTTCTCCAGTTCACAGTGGCGAGGTTGGTTTCGCCACACTTCTCCCCTTTACCAACTAGACTAACAGGGTATCTGACCTCCTGCCGGTCAGTGCCCTGGTTAGTCCAGCAACCCACCCACAAAACAGAAACAGCAGTACAGCCCACCCACAATAACTGGTTACTACACCTGGGTAGAGGAGAACTTTGTCCATGTCCAGGTGCCTCACCACGACTGTGTGGGCAACTGTTAGGCTGCCTTGGTGGGTTGCTGAGTGGGCAGAGACCAGCGGTACTCTGCCCTGATGCCAGTGCTACCACGGAAGTAGCCTGGTGGGAGCCTGGTTGTGGGAGGGAGAGACCGACTGTCTCCCCTCTGGATACACTGCTCTGTGGCTGGGGAACAGGACCAACTGTCCCTACCCCTTGTGCTGTAAGTGCAGAGACTACAGTCCCATCTGCACTGTTGGGGGGTGTAACATCTCCCCTTGCTGGGTTAGGCTGCCGCTGGAGAGAGGGTGTAACAAGCTCCTCTCTCTGAACTGTAAACTGCCGCTGGGGAGAGGGGGTATCAGGCTCCTCTCCCTGACACTCTCTCTGCTGGTGGAGAGGGGGACCAGCTGTCTCCCCTTTCATTATTTTGTCCTGTGGTTGGGGTGCGAGACTGACGGTCTCTGCTCCCTGCAGGACACTCTGCCGCTGGGGAGGAAGGACGGCACCTTCAGCTCCCTGGGGTACACACTGCTGCTGGGGAGGAAGGACTGCACCTTCAGCTCCCTGGGATACACACTGCCGCTGGGGAGGAAGGACGGCACCTTCAGCTCCCTGGGGTACACACTGCCGCTGGGGAGGAAGGACGGCACCTTCAGCTCCCTGGGATACACACTGCCGCTGGGGAGGAAGGACGGCACCTTCAGCTCCCTGGGGTACACACTGCCGCTGGGGAGGAAGGACGGCACCTTCAGCTCCCTGGGGTACACACTGCCGCTGGGGAGGAAGGACGGCACCTTCAGCTCCCTGGGATACACACTGCCGCTGGGGAGGAAGGATTGCACCTTCAGCTCCCTGGGGTACACACTGCCGCTGGGGAGGAAGGACTGCACCTTCAGCTCCCTGGGGTACACACTGCCGCTGGGGAGGAAGGACTGCACCTTCAGCTCCCTGGGATACATACTGCCGCTGGAGATCTGGGCCGACCGCCCAGCATCCCTGTAGGGCCGGTAGAGAGACCGCCGTCCCATCTCCACCTGCCATCTGTGGGTCTTCCCAGGACCAGTCTGTGAGGTCCCTCAACATTTGCGAGTAAGGACCACCTGCTTCCGCACCTGGCAACTCCGGCTGCTGCTGGGGATCTGGGCTGGTCCCATCTCCACCTGCCTGTTGTGGTTCCTCACAGGACCAGTCTATGAGGACCCCTACTTCGGGTTCCTGCGGCCGCCTCAGGGGGAGACGGCTAGCCTCCTCGGATGCAGCCTCTACTCGGCTGCTGTAACACTCCTTCCGCTGAGCATACTCTCTCTCTTTCGCCAGCCGGAATTCTCGGGCCAGCCTTGTGTTTTGCTCGGCCGTGACCTGGTTCCAGATCACCCGGCGTACCTCCATGGGTAAATCATCCCCATACTGGGCCACTCGCTGCCTCACCTCGGCCATCCAATCATTGCCAGAGCCTTCCATACTTGTCTGCTCCAAGTCGCTGGATACCTCTGCTCCCAGGGGCGCTGCACGTGTGCTAGCGTTGCCCTCAATTTGTAACTCCACGAACTGTGTCTCTGAGCTGCTTTACCTCGCACTAGGACGCCATCCCACCGCTTGCCACCAATGTAACGGATCGCCTGGCACCCCGACTGGGTACCTCCGTTGAAGGATGCTCCTAGCGCTTCCAGAGGACTCCAAGCACTGCAGCAGACACCACAACCACCGAATTGTAGGAGCATATGAGTGCTCTCAAGCATATGAATGCTGTAGACAGTTGAATAGGAACCATACGAATAGGTTTACTCTCCTAGCAGTCAAACTGGAACAGCATACAATAAATCCTTCCCCCAATAATGAGACGACACTTCACTTTGAGGGTTAAGCAGGAACTCTCTGTACTGTCACATACAGTCTCTTTTATTCCCAATCCACAAACATAGTACAGCCCACAGGGCGTTACAAAACCACCAATCACATCACAGTTACATCCCACATATTCCCTCCCCTTATCCTGAGAGGAAACTCAATTATACATACAGTTAAAACATACTTTCTACCCAACTTTCATAACTCCAAAACCATACATCACATTCACATAAAATTACATATTCACAATCAATCCATTCAGGGGAACAACATATTCAAAAATGGCACAAATCAGACAAGGGGTTCAAAAGTTAGTAAAAAGTCCTTTGTGACTAAATGAAGCATGGCTTTCTGGCCCAAACCAGTTTCAGAGTCTTCTATCCTGGAGATAAGTAATTCAATTATCTCCCAGGACAGACACAAGACTCCATTAAGCACATGGTTGCAAAAAGACACAAAACACTTTAAAATACATAAAGTCACATTTACACATAACACACAGACATTTCACATATCCCCAGATAGCTGGGATCTGAGTGCACATTATTAGATGAATGGCACTCAGATCACACAAATAAGCCTTTCTGCAGGGGAAATAAACGGTTTAACCTGCAGGGCCATAGTCCAAAGGGAGCAGGCGAGCAACCAGGCTTCTCCAGTTCACAGTGGCGAGGTTGGTTTCGCCACATTACTCATTTAGGTTTTCAAAGTAAAACTTCTGCCTAGGTGGTCTCTGGCAAGGAAGGATGATGGTGACTCACTCAAAATTAGATCTTGGCCCCAAGCAAGTACACCAACCCCCCTCCAAATCATTGGATATATGGATTATTAAGTCTTGCCTAGGGGTGGAGTTAAGGCGTATCTATAGAAATAATAAGTGACCACCTCCTTTGTTCCAGACCAACATCAATCCAAATGGAAACATTTGGCTCTATCTTCTCTTATGTACCTGCCACAGAATTAATAATTGCATCTACGAATTTGTTATTATTTTCCCATTCCATAGACACGTCGCACTAACCACCCGCGATCCAATAGGATGGACATCACAATTCCTTCCCCTATCATCAAGTCAGGCCACTCATGTTTGGGCTGGTTTAGAAGGTGGCACTAGTCACATTCCAAATATAATAAAAACGAGGCTTAATTATTATTCTGTGGGGTAAATATAAATGTTTCTCTTTGAATATAATACTGGAACAAGGCTAATGGCCATTAGCATATCAAAAGAGATTGCCTCATCAATTACAAGGTACATGCCAAATGGATGTAGAGACATTAAGACTTTTTCCAAGTTTAGAACCTCACACCTTGCAGAGCCTTGATTAATTCACATCCATATGGTAAAATTCTTTTCACATCCCTATGTCATTCAAACTACCCCTTCTGTCATCTGACCTTGGTGGGTGGGTCCCAGATTCAAAAGATCTAACCTCTTTTGACCTCCATACAATCAAATTAACCCCTTTTGACATTAACAATACCATCTCTGCCAAGCCGGCAGGTCCTTAATTCACTACACAAATTACATTAAAAGACAATATTCCATAGTGCAATAATAAATTATGCACCCTTGCCGTAACAACATCCTAGATTGCAGAATTCCTTAATGGATAAATTGTATTTAGTTGCATCTCTTTCCTGAGAATAATGACTTCAGTTTCACAGTAAAGGACAAATCTGTGCTAAAAATATAGAATATAGTCGGACATAGTACATGTATTGTAAGTAGTATGTAGTAATTAACCCCTTAACTCGGGAGGGCGTACTATTACGCCCTGCAGGAGCCGGCTCTAAACGCCGGCGGGCGTAATAGTATGCCCTCGCTATAATGATCGCCCGCTGCAGATCGCGGTCGGGGGGGATGCCTGGCCCCCCAGGCAACCCCCTTGTGGCCGGTGACCGCGATCTGCAGTCTCTGATCGCAGTGACAGGCTGTCACTGCGATCAGTATTTTCCGTGTGTTCAGCTGACACACATGGCCGGCGGCTTTCTGCTATGCAGATCGCGGTCGGGGGACTTACCTGGCCCCCCAGGCAGTCCCCCTGGGGTCAGTGACCGTGATCTGCTAAGTCTGACACATGTAACAGGCGCAATGATCCCCCTGCAGATTGGTAGGGGGGAGTGCTTGTACCACCCAGGCACTCCCCCCTGTGGTCAATTACCCAATCTGCAGGAGGTGATCACAGTGACAGGCAGTCACTGTGATCACTGATCCTGTGTGTCAGCCAGTGATGTGAAATCACTGGCTGACACTGTCTCTGCCCCCTCTCCTGTAATAAAAATAAAATATTAGTTAAAAAAAAAATTACAGTTACAAATAAAATATACTTAGATCATATATATTATATATATATGTGATCTAAGTATATATATATATACACACACACACACACACATTTACACATACACAAAGTGTATTTTAATATTAATATATATAATTATTTATATATATATTACTATCGAATTACACGTAGACTGATACTGATTAAATATATATATATAATTATTGTTATATATATATATTTATATATAATATAAAAAAATTTAAATACGTAAAAAAAAAAATAAAAAAAATAATTAAAAATAAATAATTAAAAAATATATAGATGTTTGTTATTTCGTTCTAATTGTATTGTGATATTAATATATATATATATATATATTTATCTCAAAATACACGTAGAACGAAATAATATATATATCTATATACATAAATATATACGTATATATCACTATATATATACCTATATATAAATAAAAATATTAAAAAAATAAATATATATATATATACGTATATATACACATATGTATATATATATATTAATTCTACACATATATTTATGTAATATTTTTTACATAATTAGGTATCCTAATTAATTACAATTAGCGGGACCTGCCTGACAACCCATGCCGAAAGTATAGGGAATTTAATTTGCTAGCACTATATTTAACCCTATAACTTTCCAAGACACCATAAAACCTGTAAATGGGGGGTACTGTTTTACTCAGGAGACTTCGCCGAACACAAATATTTGTGTTTCAAAACAGTAAAGTCTCCCGAGTACAACAGTACCCCTCATGTACAGGTTTTATGGTGTTTTCAAAAGTTACAGCGTCAAATATAAGGCTTGTGTTTCATTTTTTTCACATTAAAATTCGCCAGATTGCTTACATTGCCTTTGTGACCCTATGGTAGCCCAAGAATGAAAATTACCCCTATGATGGCATACCATCTGCAATAGTAGACAACCCAAGGTATTGCAAACAGGGTATGTCCAGTCTTTTTTAGTAGCCACTTAGTCACAAACACTGGCCAAAATTGGCGTTTTTTTGCATTTTTCACACAAACAAATACTAACGCCAACTTTGGCCAGTGTTTGTGACCAAATGGCTACTAAAAAAGACTGGACATACCTCATTTGCAATACCTTGGGTTGTCTACTATTGCAAATGGTATGCCATTATGGGTGTAAATTTAATTCCTGGCTACTATAAAGTCCCAAAGGCAACGTAACCAATCTGGCGAATTTCAATTTCAAATGTAACGTGCTATATTTGACCCTGTAACTTCCCAAAATGCCATAAAACCTGTACATAGGAGGTACTGTTTTACATGTGAGACTTTGCTGAATACAAATATGTGTATTTTATTTCAGTAAAAGCAAACAGTATTATGACATTGACAGTTAAAATGTCATGTAGAACTAAAAAAAAATCAAAATAAATCTTATTTTCTCCCATTTTTTTCATATTAAATTATGTTTCATAGCTAAATATTTGATATTAAATGAAAGCCCTGTTTCCCCTGAATAAAATGATATATAATAAGGGTGGGTGCATTTACTATGAAAGAGGTGAATTACGGTTGGACAGACATGTAGCGCAAATGCCAGGTTTTGTTTACATTTTGTTTTGTTCACAACGTGTACATTTGGCTCCGTCCTTAAGGGGTTAAGGGACTCTTTCCCCTTGTGTTTTTGTTTTCATTCTCACTCCTTGTGATGTCATGCATTATGATTATAATTATATAATTAATTATGCAAATTATCATGGCCTAGTATGTTTTTACAAAGGCAACCTTGCTTATCATTTTATTTGCCAATACTGCCTGCACAACTACAGGTTAACCCCTTAAGGACCAAACTTCTGGAATAAAAGGAAATCATGACATGTCACACAGGGGTTAAAGGATCACTATAGGGTCGGGAACACAAACATGTATTCCTGACCCTATAGTGTTAAAACCACCATCTAGCCCCCCTGGGCCCCTCATGCCTTCTTAAATATAGCAAATTCTTACTGTATTCAAGCCAGAAGCTGTAGATCTGCATGCTGTTTGCCTCAGCAAAAAAAAAAAAAAGCAGTCTGCTGACATCATCAGAAGTGGTAGCCTGGTGGTTTTCTTATCCACTTATATTAAACAAATATTATCTTTACTATCAATTTAAAAGAAAATTAAGCATCACATGGGAAAAAAAATAAGTGTAAAATAAATAAGTTATAGGTGATTTTCAATGTTTTGTTCAATGGTGTAATTTCCAGAGAAATGACAGTTCCTCTTTCTATCTTATATGTTTTGTATCATTGTTTCCTGAATATAGCATTAAATACAGATCTGAGTAAATGTTTAACTTAAGAAAAAGTTCACAAAATAGGAACTATAGAAAACACTGAACATTAAAAAATAAGACACATTGTAACAAATATATCCCTATCCAATACTAGCAGAATGGATTAATTACTGATCCTTACAATATGATATGTTCTTTTTATAGGTTTTTAAATAATCTCCCCGTATACCCCCCTCCCCCCTTCTCCCATTGAGAACTTGCCTGTTGCATTTTACTTGATCCCAGGAGCTGAAATTCAGAATTTTGCTTGATAAGCCACCTCTAATCACTTGTTATTTCCAAAAACACTTTGACTCTGGAAAATACAGTCTGGATTTTCGTTTCATTTTATTCCTTGTGCGTACTTGTACTGTGGTTTTAAACAAATCGGTGACAGGGTCCTTATCAAGACTACCCTCTAATGTGAACTGAACAAGAATACTTATGTTTGTAACCCCTGCTGTCTATCAGCAAGTTAGTGTTGCAAGTGGCTTTACACAAAGTATGTTGCTGATGGCTGAAAAGGTTTCTCTTTAGCATTCACCATAGTGCCTTCTGTCACTGCCTGTATATGACATTCCCAAATATATATTTCATCCATATTGTAACATACGCTTTTTTTGCTATTACCTTTGCTGTGAGCAAGCAGCAGCACTGCTACAGAGGACAGGGTGGGTACAGAACAGAGCAGGGAGTGTGTGATCTACTCATCTGGTTGGTGCAGACCAGAGTAATTGCTCCCACATGGTCTGGCACTCACTAACTAGTCAGAGTGCAGCCTTCGGCATTCCATTATTGCTCTCTGACTGAGCTCCAGAATCGAGAGGGAGAGATTACTGTGATCTACACCTGCAGGAGGTGCAGACCACATACTTGCACACCAGATGACGCATCCCAACAGAATGCTATGTAGGAGGGAGGCAAGTTTATACACCGTACACTTAACACACAGACCGCAAATATCACACAGCCTGTGCCCACCACACACTTGAAAGGGTGCAGAGGGTGAGACACTCAGGATTATTCAATATACTCCATTTTTACAACTTAACTCTGAATGGAAAATGGAGGGAAAATGTTTTGACTATAATTGGAGACATTCTTAAAATTTGCTTTTTTTTTTATTTGGATACCATTTGCTAATACCTATAGCTTAAATGTAGTTGTTCTGTTGATTATATTATGACCCTGCAGGCTTTTTGTGTTAAACACTGCCTTTTCAAAGAATGTTTACATTGTTGCGTCACCTTCAGGGACAGTCACTCAGAGGGCCACTAGAGGTTATTTCTGGGTCAGTGTCTCTACGCTCTGCATAGAGGTGCTGAACATTCCTCACAGAAATGTATTTATTCAATGCATCTCTATGAGGAGATGCTCATTGGGCAGGGCGGTGTTTGGCTCTGCCCCCGCTCTGTCTCCTTGGTAGAGATCATCAGAATTGACTATTTCAGCCAATCCAATGCTTAGGAAAGCCCATAGGAAAGCATTGTATTAGCTGAGATAATAAATTCTGATGTCATCCAAGGAGACTGATCAGGGGTGGGGCCAGCACTGGCACACCTGCTTGGCGCTGGATTAAAGGTACGTTGTAACAATTTCTTTTAAGGTGGGCCAGGGGGCTAAACTGCATTTTTAACATTACAGGGTCAGGAATACATGGTTGTATTCCTGATATTATAGTGCATCTTTAAGCTTTTCACTTCCATTCCAGGGGGGACACTGATCAAACCAATCCGTGTTCTATCTCTAGAAATGCTGGAAAAGTGCATTGCTGATGCGGGACAAATTTGCTGACGGGGAGAAGAGAGAGAGTCTGATCATTATGATCATGCAAAGCAGGCTCTGGTGTCGGGTTTCTCTCTCTCCCTTTTTTTGTCCTTAGTGGACTGTTCAGAGACCAAGATGGGTGAGTATGAGTAAGGTCGAGAAGGCTAAAGAAACTCCCCTAGCTGTGAGTTGTGCCACGCAATTCAATCTGACCAAGTTTATAGTAAATTTACCAAAGCTTCTCTTACTTTACTTTGGTTTGTATATTTGTTTTAAAGTGTTTGCTTGCTGGTTTAAGAAAAACAATTGTCATGTGATGCATGTCCTTTTAATGTATTAAAGAAAAGGAACACACACTGCTTGTATCACCATGGACTCAAAGAGCTGAGACCTCATAATTCTGCTCAGAGGTACAGCTAGGATCACTGTACACATTTTGTTATGAGGAGCTAATTCATTTCAATGTATGTTTTGGGAGAGCGTTCATGTTACTTGCTTCCTTGTGTATTCCATCTGACACATTTAATAAATCCGTTGGATGTTACAAT